GGGCCCGCAGCCCGCGGGCGGCCTTGGCGGGCGCGCGGCCTTGCGCAGCGGCGGGCGCTGCCAGCGCTGCTGCTGCTGCTGCTGCTGTCAATGACAACGCCGCTGTTGCCGTGGCGACCGCTATGATGCTCCGGCAGAGCCCGCCGTGAGGTCAGAAGCTCCGGCAGGAACAGCGGGGGGAGGCGGCGGCCCCCCCGTCACCGGCAAGCAGCAGGACCCAGCCAGGGGTCCGCATTTTGGTGGGGGGGAAGTTGGGGACAAGGGCATGGAGGAGTCCGGCTTAGGCTGCGACCCTGCAGCTTTCCTGCTCCAGCGCCTGCTTCCAGCGCCTCCAGGTTCCAGCCTGTCCTGGCTGTCACTTGTGGGGTGGCTGGGCCCCCGGCAGCGCTGTGGGTTGTTGGCCTGGCACCCCCTGGGGACCCCACGGGTGACAGACCGCATCCCCAGGCAGAGGGGACAGCCACTGCAGCATGACCAGGGGGACTCCACTTCGGTGTTTCCTCCATCTTCCTGATTGTGTTAGACTGGGGGCTATGGGGCTGGCACCCATGGGTGCTTATAGCCACTCACAGGGCCTGGAAGGTGGGATCACCCCCATAGAAGGCAGGAGGGAGAGAATGAGGGGATGGGAGCTGTTGCCCTGTCCATTGCTGCAGGGGAGCAGGGGCAGCCCGGCCAGGTATGGGTGCAGGGACAGCAGGTAGGTGCTGGCACCCACCCTTACCCCCTCCAGCCTCACAACCCCCCCATTGCCCCAGCTGCACCAACACAGGCCCCACAGCGCCAGCCCCACGGTGCTGCCAGAGACCTGGATGGGGCAGCCAGCGGGAGCCTGGTGGGGCAGCCGGGCTGGTGCAGTGGGTGCCTGGGCACCTCTGGGTGCTGGGGGGGAGGACACATCGGGCCAGGGGCATCCCACGCGCTGCAGCGGGCACAGGATCTGCGTGTTCTTGGTGAGTGCTAGACCTGTGGGTGCTGCAGCAGCGCAGGAGGGGGCAGGGGGGCAGGGATGAGCCCCCCAAGAGCGGCAGGGGGGCCGAGGCTGGTGCAGCCCGGACCCCCGTCCCCGGCTGCAGGCCGCTGCCCTCCCCCCGCGCCGATATAAATAGTAGCGTCTTCCCGTTCCCTAAATTTCCTCGCTGACGTAGCGCTCACGTCATTGTGTAGGTTGATGCTTTTCTATGAATGAGCCGAGATCCCCGTTACTACGAGCCCGATCCTATAAAAGCCCCGCGCGCTGCGGACAGCGCAGCCACCGGCATCGGCGCCCGTCCCGGTCCCGCCGGGAGCCGCGCGGCACCGGTACCGGAACCGGCTCCGCCGCGGCGGCCGCGACGGAGCGGGCGGAGGAGGTAAGAAACCGGCGGGGCTGCCCGCAGGTAAGGAGAGCCCGGAGCCCGCGGCGGCGGCGGGGAGCGCGGCCCCCGGTACCGGGCACCTGCACCTGCAGGCCCGGGCACGGCGGCCCCCGGCGGCCCCCTCGTCGGGACGG